TAAATAATTATGCAACATAGAATCTTATAATTACACTTTCAGCACCAATTGTTCGTTTCATACAATTTTTTAGTTGCTTAGTGAGGATAGCTGCCAAATTCCCACTACCGAGCCACCGAGGGTCCGACCGTCCAGATGGGCATACTTTTTCGCATGCGAAGCATTGATGTAAGCCGTCTGGTTAAAGTTGAATTCATCACAACCGTCCATTGTTCTCGAGGAAAGATAGGAAGTTCGCATGCGGAACAATTATTAGGTCCGGTGATCAGACGTAGTTCTACGTCCGGTCACCACTGAGATCGCGCCACATGCTCTTACTCTTTACCGCGCGGCCCGACGACTTGACCCAGAACGGAACCCGGGAATGCTATGTTCGCGTATTGCTAGATATTACTTGGTATTTGCTCGGTATTGCTTGGCAATAACGAGAAATACCGCTATGTGAAGACCAATACCGAACAATACCGAGTAATACTCGGTGTTTGCTCGGTATTTGTCTTCAAATAATGATATTTCTCGTTATTGCCGAGCAAAGTTGACAAATACCTAGCAATACCGGTTTGTCATGGATTTAAAAAAAGCACGTGCGACATACCCACTATTCGCTAGGTCGGATCCGCGGTTTTGTGCCTGCTACGTGGCGCGTTCTCAAGGCTCGCCGAATGTAGCTCTACGTCCGGTTACCAGACCAAATATGCAATATGTCCCATAGCGTAGGGCGCTTGCTCCTGCGCTGCGTACCATCGCTTATATTTTTAAATGCAGATCTACACATTGACCAAGCTTTTTTTATTTTATTTTTAAAATGTTGAGGGAACATATTGTAAATAATTTTAGTACCTTAATATTGCAAGAGTTGCACTTCAAGCAAGGTCAGTGAAGCATATGGCCCAAACTTAAAATCCACTTATCCGCTGTACTTACCTAGTTTGCCACTTAGCTCATTATTTCATTAGCTGTCTATGTACATTTTTGTACTTTTGGTCATACATCTCATATATCTTGATGTATAGTAGGACCAAATAAAAACAGGAGAGGCTAAGACATAAATTTTCAGAGCCCACAAATAATGTAATGAATATTAATATGATCTAAATAATATATTAGTGCTATACTAATAATATTTTCAATAATTAAATACTATACTAATCTGAATCAAAATATTACATCAATGAATATTTTAAATATAATTCTAAATCAAAATTTTATAATCTAATATTTAAATTATTTATAAGATATTTAATTTTAAATAATCATTATTCCCAACTTAAAAGTACATGTTTTAGATATCTTAGATCTATTGTTCAAAATGATGGTGAAATAGATGGGGATATTATCAGTAGAATTCAAATTGGATGGTTGAAGTGGAGGAATGCACCGGGCTTGTTATGTGATAGAAATGTACCCCTCAAATTTAAGGGAAAATTCTATAAGATGATAGTGAGGTCTACAATGATTTATGCTGCCGAATGTTGACCATTAAAAGAGAAGCATAATACTAAGTTAAGTGTGGCAGAGATGAGTATGCTCAGGTGGATGAGTGGCTTTACCCTTAGAGATAGGATACGAAAGGAGCATATATGTGAAAAGGTTGGAGTAGCTCTAATAGAACATAAGATTAGAGAGAGTCACCTTAGATGGTTTGGTCACATAAAACGGAGGCCTTCCAATGACCCGGTTAGGAGAGTAGAGGTATTAGATTTGACTTATGTTAAGAAAGGTAGGGGTAGACCTAAAAAGACTTGGTTAGAAAATATTAGGAATGATATTTCTTTATTAGATTTAAACGAGAATTTGACTTTGAAAAAGGATTCATGTAGCCAACCCATAAAAGCTTGATGTTGTTGTTGTTGTATTATACCCAACTTAAAAGTTCAAAAAATATAAATAAATCTGAGAAAGTTAAAACTTAATGAAAATTATAAATAATTTATAATAATCATTTAATCAAAATCAAATAAAAAAAGCCATTACTTGATTTATAACTGAACCAACCGTTTCATCAAAAATCAAATCCAATCAACCCCTGAGCCCCATGCGCACCAAATTGGCCAAAAAGTAAAGTTAAGTTTCGTATGGGGCAATTTTTTTACTGTTTTTTATATAAAAATTTTTAAAACTTCAAATTTTTGTACTAGAAAATCACTTCAAAAAGCGGCAAGAAGTCATCTCAAATGAAGCCTTACCCTACTGTTGAACTTACTATGAATCAATCCCTCCATTTTAAAACAATAGTAACCATAGCTTCATATGTAGACCCCAACGCCACGAACTTTTATTTGGTCCGGTCACAGGACGTAGCTCTACGTTCGGCCGCCAGTAGAATAGCGCCACGCGTCCTCACTATTTACCGCGTGCTCCGACAACCCGACCCAAAACGGACCCATGATGACTCTGTATTTCTCGATTTTGCTCGGTATTGCTAGATTTTGCTCGGCAATAACCAATACCGAGCAAATATCGAGTAATACCGAACAATATCTTTTCTCAGTACAACTCGATATTGCTCGGTATTGATCTTCACAGAGCGGTATTTCTCGTTATTGCCAAGGAATACTTAGCAATACCGAGCAAATACCGAGTAATACCTTGCAATACGCGAACATAGCATTCCCGGGTTCCGGTCCGAGTCAAGTCGTCGGACCGCGCGGTAAAGAGTAAGAGCACGTGACGACATGTTATTGGCGGCCGAACATAACTCTACGTCCGGTCAGAGGATGTAATAATTATTCCAACGCCACAGAAATAACTCTTAAGGACAAAATTCCCATAGGATTCGCAATATTTTTGTTGGCTGAAGAACATGTGATAAATCTTAAGGGAATTGAAACTTCAATCGGACTTAAACAACAAATAGCTGAGATAACATCCAATCTCCAGCGATGAAGTTTTTTTAGTGAGAAGAGGCAAAATATTCTCCCCTAAATTGAGTACAGCTTCTATATTATACACATTTACAAGATAATTTTTAAAGAATATATGTTACACATGACCATATACATTTTTTCTTAACCTTTTAAAGGCAGGAGCCACACAAACCCCTTAGATTTTAGTCTGGAACGGCTTAATTACTGCTTCTTAAAATAACTTTTTAGTACAAAAAATAATTTTTTTATACTAAAAAGCTGCTTTAAGAATCAGTAAAAAAAACCGTCCCAAACGAAACTTTAATTTCACCACTGGCAACCTAAGTAGCCAAATTTTAAAGCACCACCAAAGTCATTGATCTCAACATTTTTATTTCAGTTGTTTGGTGCTGACGTTATGATCCTAAATTTTTCAATTTTTTTCTTAATACAGCAAGAATTATAATCGGCAGAATATGGATCCATAGTAAAGAATCAATGACAAGGCTGGGCCCTTCAAATTCAATTCAGTTGTCCCCTTATCTAACTGTTTCAAACTGATCTATTAAGTTTCTACATTGTTTATAACATTATCATTATTTCTTGACCTATCTTCAAGTCCCAAATTAATCAATTTCAGCATTTAGATTCTGTTCTAAGATGTTTTTGAACTGGTTAGTCCAACATCATTGCCTAAATCAAGCCGTTATATATTATAATCACTTGCCACAATCACACCTACTGAATTGCTAGTATATCAAATGATAAAATCCACACAAAATTAGTGCGAAATAAGGCTTCGTTTGGGACAGCTTTCTCTTCTTGTTTCTTAAAGATGTTTTTTAGTAAAAAAAATTCTACTAAAAAGCCGCTTTAAGAAGCAGGAAGAAAACCGTCCCCAACGAAGCCTAAACATGTTCTTAGAATAGAAGTTATGATTATTTTTTATGATGCCTTTACAAATTAAAAAAGGTGTTACCTAATGCATGAACCTTCTTGCTGATTTGAAATCTGAGGAAAGGTTGAATACATAGCCTTATCCTGACAAGAAATAGATAGTTCCAATTGCATCTCCAAATAAAAAATACAAAATTTTAGCCCAAGTATTAGGTACCTAAAGTAGGAACAAAAAATAAAAAAATGTGCAGGGCTACTGCCTCACAGCAACAACGAAATTGAGAACTGACAGTAAGAAATTCACTTACTATGAAGTTGGCTTTTAATATCACTTATCCTGCAAAAAATTCAATGGACTAGAGGTCAAAAGCAATTCTCTGCAAAAAATCAGGTCTTCTCTTGCTTGGCATCCGAACTAGGCCTGTGATTTGTAGCTCTGTGACTGCTTTGCAAAATCTTGCTCTAAATGGTTTCAGTCAAGGACAACAGCAATTCAATCATTTTAGACTTCTACGCATTAATCCCAAGTATTTATAAGACGAGGCACAAACAAAATAAATGACACAATAAGAATATGAGAAGTTCTTGCCTTCTTGGTGTAACTTCATTGTTTTGTGTGGATGATGGGCAGTGGAATTCAAACCCTCTATTTCCCTGTTTTAATTTGGGCATAAATACTACCAGGCCTATGAGCCAAGATGGTACATGTTGGTGGATTTAGATCACTATTGCACTTTTAACTAGCACATAAGCCTAAATCAGAAATCAAAATAAGGTATCATGTTAAACAGTCGACAGAACAATAAATGCAAATTTGTTTAACTCAAAGTAGAAGTAATTATATGATCAGTCTCACTAGATAGAGCAGTAATCTAAGATTTCATTTGGATCAGTTTTCTTACTGCTTTCTAAATGACTTTCTAGTAAAAAGATTTCTAATTCCAAAAAACTTTGCATTAAAAAACTGCTTTAAAAAGCAGCAAAAAAACTGTTCCAAACAAAGCTTAAAAGAAATGAATTCAATGTAGCATTGCCCCTTCAGAAAGCAAATCGATACTGTGGTAACAACATTAGTGTCTAATTAAATAAAGGGAATAAGAAAACTATGAAGTTGAAGGATACTGGATGGACACTTCATTCTCAAGTGCTTTAGATTTCCCCTTTTTAGAAGCAGGAGAATGCTGGGCCTTACGCTTGGCTTTAGGGTTAGAGATAAGTACTTTTGTTTTGAAAGAATGATACCAGTCATGGAGGTTGATTAGGTCACCATACTCTTGGGCAAGACTATACCTGAATCGGGTAATAACAATTATAAGATAAACCATAAAGCTAAAGAAGCAACAAAGCTCAATTTTAATGGAATATGGCACAGCATCAATGTAAAAGCAGCCAGAAGAAAGAAAGAGAATGTTTGCGAGTTTGATAAACTTCTGGCAAGGCAAGCCATTGAGAGCTTCATTAACTAAAGAGGATACCTATAAAACTTCACTGAGTTCCTTAAAAAAATGTCATGGTAGAAGTACAACTCACATGATAGCAGTATCATGGATGGAAGAGGATAAGACATTCTCTCTTCTACTACAGGAGGTGCTCTGAAGATACTCATCGGATTTCAAAAGGTCATCCTGTATGACACTTCTCGGATCCCCAATTAGAGCCTGTGCAAGCAATGGTTCCAATCAGAAAGAGGTGTTATTACAATCAAATTTTAGATAAATCTACAACTACAGCATTAGCACCAACCTGTGAAGGCAGATATTAAGCTCATCAAATCAAAAGAATATGTTATTTACATGGTATAGTAAATTCTAAAGCTTCCAATCAAGTTCATTCCAAACATCAACCGGTAAGTTAAGAATCCAAATGGTCAACAAAGGGTGGACTTGGGCGAGGGTGTAAAACCTACCAATAGAGACACCCTACCTATATGACTACTTTGTAAGTAGGTTGCATTTTCTACAAGGTAAGGTTACAATACCCAATTTTGGGTTTATTCCAATATTTGAGCTGTAATTCGATGTGTGAGATCAAAAATCAGGATCGTATGCCACAACCATTAGGACAACTCACAAATAAATTAAGAAACCCCAAATTCAAATCATGTTAATATCAAAAGTCAGGTCAATTTACCTATAGGGTAAGGCCTTAAGATCCATCATTGACCTTTTCTCCCTCTCGAGGTTGTAAGTCTCGTTTATGGGTCTTCTAATGAATGTAAGCATTGTCCAAATTTAGGTCACTATAAAGCAAAATGTAATAACTAAAACTGAATTGGATTGATATTAGGACCGACCAAATCTGATCCTCCAAATATGAGAAAACCCTCGTACTCCTTCGTGAAGTCTACTCCATTAGATTATCATTATCATGCAAATTTTACAAGCCTACAACCACCACTACTCGATCTTTTAAGGAGAGAATGTTGGGCATCATTCTCACATGCTCATGTACCTCTCCCTTACAACCACCAAGCCTTTATCGATTGAAACCCTCCTCATCTTCTTTTTCCCCATCAAACGAAAAACAAAGCACAAGCCTTCCCCCTTCTCCTTTGATCAGCAACTAATAGTAATCCTCCCCCTCAACTGAGAACCACCAACAACAAATCTTTTCTCCTCATCTACCGCTTCAACTAAGAGGTAATCGCAAGTCCTTATCTTCTATATGTAATTATTACTTTTTTTATTATTTTAGACATTATTGCATCATCTTCTTCGCATGATTTGGTGAAAGAATAGTAGTTTAATTATTGATTTGTTATTTATTAAATTATTTTAGAGTGGATTTCTAATCAAGCACCTAAATTTATCCTTGTATTTTGATACGAGGTTTTAAAAGATTTAAATTTTAATACCCTTAAGGGTAGGTTTGATTCTTTCAATGATTAAAATTAAACTGAGGGATTATGGGGTGGTTTAAACTGATTAGGTTACATCTATTTCAAAAAGCATTTGTGTTAATACCTTCATTTATGTTCTTGTACTTAATTGAAAGTCCAAATTATATAAAACCTTCGAGATGGGTTTCACTTGCCGTCACTGGGAGGAAAGTGACTTCTTACTAGAGGAGAAATTTACCCTTCATTGTTAGGGATGTTATCGTTGAAATTTATAATGTATTCTTAGATAATTTATAGGTTATTAGTCCAATATTTAATACTCAATTACTACTATACACATTTACATAGATTGCTTTTTAATGTTCATAATAAAATATCAAAAAGCACTTGTAGTTTTATCTTGATTAATGGCTACATAAATTTTCAAATATCTAAATGATTCAAGTAGTAACAATCTCTATTTTCATACTTGTTGCCTTTATTTCTTCCCACAAATCATGTCTCATCATGAAGATAATATTAATCATATTTATTACATGCTTATTATGTTTAGAATATGACTGCTTGATTGCAATAGTATGTAATTCAATAAAACCTTTTTTTGATATTGGCTAGATAGGCCAAAAAGTTTATAGAGAAATCATTGAATTTCTATAAGATTAGTACCGACCTTTTTTTAATTTCAGAGTGCCGTAGTAAAACCGACCATAAATACATATACATATATAAAAAGGTGGTAGTAAATGACTAATGAGCCATATTTAGATACGTATGAGTATACCTAATATGATGGTACATGGATATGTTCATATAGAATTGCATTGGAACTATTTCCAAATAAATTATCATGAACATAATGATATATAGATTAAATTAAAACATATGACAGCCTTTCACTAATGATATGCAATATTACTCTAATTAGATAAATGATACTATTCACTATATTTTCATTACATAATAAATCCTACCTCTTCATTATTCTTAGTGCATACCCCCACAAATTGTCATTTATGCTTTAATAAATAAGAGTTGCTTATTGAGTTTGAATTATCAAACTCACTCTTAGTAATTTTTTTCTCATAAAAAATTTTACTAGGAGCCTACTTTTTTAACAACATTACTTCAATAGATATTTTTGAGTTTATGGTGTAGTTTGTATTCATATTTCTATTGGGTTTGAATAGTCTTTGCCTATGTATTGTTTCTTCTAGTTTCTTTTATATTAATAAGTTTTACTTATTTGCTATGCCCCTTTTATAGACTCTAGTGATGAAATAAAATACTATCTACTTTTCATGCTTGTTTTCATATATTCTGCTTATAATTATTTATACAATAAACTTCTCTCTTGTGAGTAAAAATCAATTTTAAATTACTTTGATTTTTTAGTTTCATGTCAAAAATTGAGGTGCATCCCTTCATTGTATCTTGTGTTAATATAATGTATCACCTTTCAGACATGATGTGTGACACCAACAAACCCATTATAATTAAAACTTGAACTTCCAATGGTTTGAAGCCCCATCCCAACTAATATAGGCCTTCAAATAGATGTGAGCCCAAATTCAACCAAAACTCGAGCTAGCTCTCCTGCTAAAAGGTCCATTATCCAAAAAAAAACGAATGAAAAACACACAAATCAAAATTTCAACATGCCTTAAATATGCTTAGTCAAATAAAGCCAAAATTCATGGATGACTAATGTTCATATCATGCCCTTGAGCTCTAGTTGGCATGTCCATTACCTCTGAATAGCAATCAACCATATATTTTGCCATTGAATTATTCAATTAAAACTAGTAAGAGCATCCCTTTGTAAGTAAACTAGTTAACAACAACCTCAAAAGCACATACTTAACACACATTTACACCATAATCAACACACGATACCTATGAAGAGGCAACCAGTGGTCGCTATCAGAGTTCTTGAATGTTATTTCCCAAAGCAACCTAACATTAGATAAGGTCTATTGGTATACCTACGATGACATAACTATAAGATCTTGATCATGTCTTCCTCCATCACCCTAATCATGCCCCACACAATCAAATTCAATTCTAAAAATTAAACATGACCCTAAAAAATGACCCTAAGCAAGCTCCTTAGTGTTCTCTTATGAGTGGGAGGGGTATAATTAATTTCAGGGTTTTGTGTCCACAAGAAATCTCAATGTCAAACCTAGATAAACTCTAACATAATGCCGAGAGAAATATGATTAAAATAAATACTCAATCTCAAGGAAAACTACTATAGAGTCTAACATCAAGGAAATTCATAGGTAAGGGGCTTAGCTTTTTGTAGGTTATCACATCACATGGACATTACGAAACTTTTAAGTGTAGTGCTAAGAATCAAGGTTGTTTCCATCCATGGTTATGTTGACGAAATATTAGGACAGATTAAATAGGGAGAGAGAAATAAAAAACAATTCAAAAGACGTCATAATAAAGGGTAAACCATCAAAATGCAATATCTTGATAGGGATAGCAATAAGAAACGCTTTGCTTCAACAACAGGGGTTTGATTGTATGCAGATTAAAGTAAGTGTACCAAGTCAAAATTGGCCAATAACACAAACCCTAATCTCTTCAAACTTTAACATAGATTTTACGTGATAAAAATTCCTAGAGACGACAAAAGTGAAATCAAAAGCCGCTACTAACTTAGGTAACCAGACTATAAAGGTCATATTAAATAAACCATGCAAATAAACGAGTATAAATGGTAAATACAAACATTACCCAAGGAGCCATAAGTTATTATGTAATTATAAGAACTAATTTCAGTATCACAGAAGTTCATGTGCGTTTTAAAGCTTTCCTCTTTTTTAATACAAATAAAAAAGCTTAGACAAGCAGCAAAAAAAGAATTCCTTTATGATTTCATCATGAGCTGACAGCAGCACATAAAATATGATTCTAAGAAGTAATGGCAATTAATTAGTGACCATCATAAACCCAGACAGAATGTGACAGGTACGACACTAGATAAGAATTGAACACAGAAACCTGTGATATAATATTAGAAAACATCAACACATGATGAAATTAAATGCCATACTTACTGACTTTAGAGAAGAAACATCTTTGAAGCAGAAAATTTCATGGAAAGGTACACTTTCAATCGGCACCAAAAATTTTCTGTATAAATATTAATCATCAGATGCTGGAAAGGAATAGTGAGTACGTAAACAGAATGCCCACAAGGAATACATTGAACACAAAAATGGCAATTAGAAAGAAAGCGCAATGAAGAAGAAGTCCATTTCCTAAATTTGTGAAGGACCCGTATTGTACTGACCAGTTATGAATTCTATTTGAGAGTAAAGTCAAACATATTCCATCATTTAACTATGTATCCATCTATTCGCTGCTAAGCTTGCCATAAACATGCATATGAACCTAAAAACGGGTGTACTAACATGCACACATTTATGTAAATGAATATGCAAAGTCATTAGGCTTGGTTATTTCCATCCTTACAATTAGATATCAAGGAGCACAAGTACTAATGAAGGTCACAAAGAGAGCATCCCAACAAATAAATTATGCATAAAGTACAACCTGAGCAGGCTAACTAGCAGCATTGCCGCTTCATCATTCAAAGATGGTTTGCCCTTTTTCCTTGCTGAGGATGCCAAACACCTACAGAAGTCAAAAAATTTGCATAAATATATATCAAATAAGCAAATTCAAGAGTATACAAATAGGTTAGTGAACATTCAAATGTGATTTTCCGAGTTAACTTATCCAATATTCAAACAATAGAACTAATTACTTATCTATGAAATACATATATATAGATAAAAAAGTCATTTATATCATCTGTATGTAATATTCTAGCAATATAAGAAAGAATAATAAAATAGAATCAATGACACTTCATAACATTATTTCTTTATTATTTATTTTAATACTAATCATGATCATTATGTTCTGAATTAATAAAATATCTTATGTGTTATATGTATTTAAGCATATGATTTATTTACTGTTAAGATAAAAATCCTTCAATTTCTGTTGACCTCTATGTAATAACCAAAAGACCAAAAAAATCTGCGTACCTCGTTCGATCGAAGAGATCCCGTAAATCCCGCAAGGAATTCCGCCGGGTTACTGTGCATTCGGAGCCGTTCGCGTCGAATCCTCCGCAATCCCTGCCGAAATCTAGCTCTCGATCGTTGCCCCTTTCTCGTCTTTAAATACCGAGCGACTTCCCCACTCAATCGCAGAAGCTCCCGATTCCTCTCTTCTCCCACTCGCCTCTTCCACACACGAGAATCCCGACTCCAAGCTATTCGCTACACACACGATCCGAACTCCTCCCTCTTCCACGCTCGTTTCCTTTCGACACTCTCCCCATACGAAACCTCTGCTCCGACCGAACCCCACGCTCGCCTCCTCCACGCAAAAGCCCTGCTCCCGTCACCTTCTCTGTCCGATCCAACTCAAGAAGCCGCCGACCCTTCCTCCTCCGGCTCCACACAGAGAGAGCCGGAACTCTGTTCAGCCCACGACTTCCTTTGTCCGACCCCATTCCCTCTTCCATCTCCGACCTCTCGGCCGACCGGCACAAGCAGAGAGAGAGAGAGAGAGAGAGAGAGAGAGAGAGAGAGAGAGAGAGAGAGAGAGAGAGG